GTGCGAGGCACATTGTAGTTGAGGTTCTGGATGATGCTCTCGCTAGTACCCACTCCTGCCCACACCCAGAAAATCCGGTCCCCTCGCACCCGCAGGAGCTGCAAATCACTTACATAAAATCTCCGAGTCCGAGATCTGGCCCTACAGCCTCCCACCAAGCACTCAGACAACTTCTGTCCCTTGGAATCTCTGAGGCTCTGGTTCTAAAGCCAGCGCTCCCTCCCCTCCTGCCAGCCCCCTCCGCCCTTCGGCCTCCACCATTGGCTCCCTTGGTGCTAGCTGTCGGCCTGGGAACCTGGAAGGCGATTGGACCAAGAGTCTGTCACATCAACTGGGTGGAGGAGCCCAGAGAATAGGCACTGGGATGGGCACTTGGAAGAGATGGGAGCTAAATCTCCATGTCTTCATGTCTGGTTCTCCCTTCCCTACCTGGTCTAAGAAGTTAAAAGGCCACAGTGCCTGGCTTGGAATACATGTTTAAAAATATTACGGAAATAATTGTAAAGAGGGAACGCGGGAACACGTTTAAATGTCATCTATTTAAATAAGGGGGGATGCAGTTATTCTCTGTACTGGGAAGGTACAGTACTGGTTGCATCTGCTTGGTTCAATCCGGGTGCCAAGGGACTCCTAGGGGCAACTTCCAGCTACTGTACATTTCTTTGCTTTTAGTTGTTTGTTTTCAAAGTCTCACTAGGTAGCCCTGGCTATCTTCAAACTGGAATCTGAGGTCTCAGCCCTTAGTACTGAGATAACCAGCCAGGGTCACCATGCCCAATTCATCTTTTAAGGTAGTCATGGGAGCAGAAGAGTCAGGGCAAGGGCCCCTTTCATTTGACTTCCAGCAAAATCAATTGTTGACCAAAATCATCTGTCTGGTAAGTTTGTCTAGCCTGAGAAGAGTGAAAGGTGGGAGGGAGGAGTGGAGGAGGGCAGAAGTAGTAGAAATAACTTGATTTTGCTCCTTTAACTGGAATACTGATTCATGTCAGTGTCAGTTTGCCAGAAAAACCTAGAGACCTGTACAATACATCTTTTCTGCCCACAATATTGCTCCATTTCAGGGTCAGTCCACACACACACACACACACACACACACACACACACACACACACACACACACACAGAGGGTGACTTCCCTCCGTATATGCATTCCAATCCTCTGACTCATTGTATGTCAAAATCAGCCTGGAGGGCCAGACTTGAAGATATCCTTTATGATCCCGTCTAGAGATTATTGGTTGGTGGGCCAGCAGTAGAAAAAAAGAATCTGAGTACTTATAACTAATAGTACCTATTCATTACTATTTCACTCTTAACCATTTTTGTTCAGGAAATGTGTGCTTGGAAAGTTTTATAAAAATTTTAAATTAATTCAGTTAAGTCGCATGTTAAATACACCAAGAAAGAATGCTAAATTAAGAAAAACTTAAAAATAGAATGCAAAGGCCATCAAGATGGCTCAGTGAGGAAAGTTGCTTGCTGTCAAACTTGAGGACCTGAGTTCTAGCTCTGCAACCCACATAGTGGAAGGAGAGAACTGACTCCCAAAGATTGTCCTCTGACCTCCACACATGGACCTTGGCATGTATATGTGACACACACACACACACACACACAGAGAGACACAGATACACAATCAATAAAAAAATGTAAGAAAAAATTTAAAAGAAATTTATTTCAAATTATATTCTATGTGAACAAATTATTAATATTTTATTTAAGAAAGTAGAATTGAGTGATATGCAACTTTTTTCAACATATCTAAAACTTATAATTGAATGCTCTTGTAAAGGAATCCCCCTCCCATTACATCTCTTATTGTGAATTTACTTAGAGAAACTACTGTACTCTGGGTGGGGTGATTTTGTCCTGTAATCCCAGTATTCCGAAGGCTTGAAGCAACCTGTGCTACAGTGAGTTCCAGGCCTGGGAATGGGACAGTGTGGAAAGACAGAACTTGTAAGTGCTAGAGCTTGTTAAGGAGAACTTGGGGGGGGGGCGGTTCATATACTGTCTAAAGGCTAGAGAAAGCCTTGGCACTGGGAAAAAAAAGCCTTGTTAAATATTAATTAATGATTAACCAACTAGGAGACCTTATGAAAGGCACAGGAAGGTGAAAAAGAAAGTAGCGAGCAATCATGCTTTCCAGAAACATAACATTTCTGTTGTGAGTGATGTTGGACTGGGTCAACACAAAATACTGACAACATGACATTGGGTTGAGCATGTAGTGTATTGCCATACTTACTTACAGGAGGTTCCAGAATGAGATTCCCAGGTTTCAGTAATTGGCCTATGGCTTGGTGTGGTTACTAGAACTCTTCACACACAATTTCTGGATGCACTACATAGAGAACTTTAGTATTTTACTTTTCATTATGTCAGCCACTATTGAAAAACTTTCGCCTCTTTTAAGCTTAAATCATCCACTTTGCAATAGCACAAAGAGTTTCTGTCAGTGTTCCAGTGTAGGTATATTTGTCTAGTTTAATTCTGTATTTGATTTTTGTTTGTTTTTCTAGTTCTACAATTCAAAACAAGGCAGAAGGCCAGCAAGATAGCTCAGTGAGTAAAGGTGCTTGCTCCCAAGCCTGGTCCCAGAAACTACTTAGTAGAAGGAGAGAACTGTCTTCTGAAAGTTATCCTTTGACTCATATTGCACATACAAAATTAAACAAAATGTAAAATCAAATAAGGCAGAATGTAACATTTCAACAAGTGTACCATGATGGCACATATCTGTAATACCAGTAATCAAGGGGCAGAGGGCAGATTGGGGTACAGAATGTCTCAAAAAGCCAATAATTAGCTGGAGGCAGAGGCAGGCAGATTTCTGTGAATTTGAGGACAGCCTGTTCTATATAGCAAGCTCCAGACCAGCAAAGGGCTACATAGAGAGATCATATCTTAAATAAAAGGTCCCCAAACTTAAAAAATCCTGGTGTATTCATGTGTTGTTTACGTGTACCTGTTTCTTAGTTTTAAAAAAAAATCTTATATCGATGGGGAAATAACTTAGTTGATAAAGTGTTTGCTTAGCATGCATGAAGCCCTGGATTAGATCTCTACCTGTAATGACAGCACTCAGGAGTTAAAGGCAGGAGGGTCAGAAGTTCAGGGTCATCCCCCCAAGCCAGCCTAGGATACATAAAACCCTGTCTCAAACAGAGAAAACCTTTCATAGACTGCCCATCTTCACTTTTGCGCTCACGCTTGCATGTGTGTGTGTGTGTGTGTGTGTGTGTGTGTGTGTACTCAGGCGGATGCATGTATGAGTGTTTGCATGTGTGTAGAGGTGCATGTGCGTATGTGTGCACTTGGGTGTGGTGGCCTGAAGTTCACGTTGGGTGTCTTCCTCCGTCACCCTCACTTTATTTATTGAAGCAGCGTCTCTTGCTGAGCCAAGAGATCTCGAGTTTGAGGTAGTCTAGCTAGGCAGTTTATCCTAGGGATTCCCTGTCTCTGCCTCCTGAATACTGGGATTACAGGTGACTGCTAGTCCTGTGAGGCTTTTGATGTCTGAGGATCAGAACTTGGGCCTCATGCTTGAAGTAGCAAGAGCTTTATCCACTCAGCCATCTTCCCAGCCACACCTTACTTTTGAGGCAAGATCTCTTATTCAGGTCCTCATGCTTGCAAGGTAAACACTTTACCAACTGAGCTATCTCCCTAGCCCAGAGACTTACATTAATAAACATTTTCCTTCACCACTGAAGATGTCAGAGCTCAGTCAAATAGGTTTGGAGTATGGCTCAGTGTTAGAATACTTGCCCACATGTGTACCAAGGCCCTGCATTCAATCCCTAGGACCATACACACTGAAAAACTTCAGGGCTCTACCTCATTGCCTCAGTAACTTTCCAAGAGATAAAAAATGTGCCTTAAGCTCAGCAGATCCCATTTGGATTCTAGTTGAGATTCCTGTTTAGCAAGCCCAACAATATAACCCAGCTACAACTCCTTTGTAATGAGCACTATGAAGATATGCAATTTGATATAACCATGTTACCTTTAATTTAAAAAGGTGTCTTTAAAGTTCAGCGTTTTGCTCTAAGAAACTTGACTCCAGCTGAAAGTTCCAGTTGGACCGCCTTTCTTTACAATCTTTTACTCTGTGAATTTAATGCACGTAGGGTAGTTCACAAAGTAACCTAAAGTTGATGGTTTTCTTATCTATGTAAATCGGCCTGCACAGATGATCTTTGGTGTCCTCTCCATGTGCTTACAGGTAGGTTATAGGCTCTAATTCATCTCGACAGCAACTATTACAGGGCTCAGCACAGTTCAGTAAATGCTTATTGAACTAATGGTTGTTTTATGGGTCTGTTCTTGTAAAACAATAGCAACAAAAAGCTATATATAGGTCTCTTACAGACCCTGCAAATCAATAACCCAAGTGTTTTTAGCCTTTTCCTTTCACCTCTAATTTTCTATCCATCATGGCTTTGTAATAAATAACTGAAAATCAATATCACAAAATTCTGAAAGTATTTCTTCTTCCTGTTCTCCTTGAACCACATAGAAGGATTTAATTTCTCATTTAGACTATATCTTTACCTACCCTTCCTTTCTTCCTCCCATTCTGTATGTGAATTTTCCTTTTCATGGCCCTTCTTCCTATTTCTTTTCCAAATACTTTTGTCAGTCTATTTTGCAGCTTAGGATATGCAGATAACCTCAGGTTTTCTCAGAAATTTTCCAAGGGTATGCTGTCAGCTTCCTTTACATCCTTTAAAAATTTTCCTTTTAAAAGCATGATGGTAAACACTGGTGAGTCCAGCACTTAAAAGGCTAAAGCAGAAGGATCAGAACTTCTAGTTCACTCTGGGCTTACATATGAGCCAGGGCCTCAAGTATCCCAGGCTGACCTCATACTCCCCATGTAACCTAAAGTGACTTTAAATACTTACCCCTAATCCTTCTGCCTCTCGCTTCCAAGTGCTGCAATGGCAGGTATGCACCACCATACCTGTTTTGTGAGGTACTGGGGACAGAACTGAGGCAATTTTTTTTAATTATGCAAAATAAACTTGGGATGCAGAGGTAGAAGGATAAAGATTTCAAGGCTAGCCTAAGCTGCAATACCAAGTTTGAGACGAGCCCAGGCTACATGAGACCTTGTCTCAAAAAAACCTAAATAAATAAAATAAA